TTTCAAAATATGAGACGTGTCAAAAAATAAAATCCTAGATACACACAAACCTTGCTCACGAGTAAAACAGATTTTACAGGGCAAGAAAATATCCTAGTTAAAAGAAGATTGAAAACAAGCTGGAATATAAAATATTAATATAAAACCTGAGTAAATAACAAAGCATTATAAACCACAAGTTGAAATATACTCAACCTGAAGAAAGGACTGCATGTCCAAAAGCTTGTCTGTTTTTTCCAGTTGCATCTATGAATTTAGCAAAAACACCCCCTTCATTTGCAAAATTTACACTAAATGTACCTTCAGATAGCCATGACTACAGCAGTACAAATTATCAAAAAGAATTGAAATATAGAGGACCAAGAAAATCTCTAGGTTATGCATGCTTATTCTAGAGTGCAAACTGTAGCTAGGCGTGTATTTTCCATAGAAATTTTGGGAGGTGTCATTTTAACAAAACACTGCACCAATCACATTCAATAAAGTGCCAGGGACTGAGTTTATCACCTTCAGAGGATGGCATAAGGAAATATGTGCTATGATGGTATCATTTTAAGCTAACATAGTGTATGAAAATAGTGTACAGGCAAAAGCTGTATAGAAACCAATCATACTTTTGAGCAACCACTATTATGTTTTGTAAACACATGAAAAATGGGGACTTTTCAATTGTAATTGTTTTAATTAAAACATTTCCAATTGTATTAATACAATTCTGATGGAAGATCACTCAACTTCATTTATCTAAAAGATTTTGAATTTAGGATTCTATTTACAGATTAGCTTGGGTAAAAAATTGTGACCAAACAACCATTTTTGCCAAGACTACAAGTCTAATCAATGTGTGCTAGCATAATATATCTGGATTTCTCTAAAATGCAGGACACTTTAAAATTGACAGAGACGACACAGACCGGGTTTAAATTAGCTCACTGAAAGATCTCAGACAAGACATTCCTGTTCTTTAGGGAATTTCTTTTAGCCATATTATTTTATACATGTGGCAGTCATCTAAAAGATGGTATAAAAATCTTTGTAAATAAATTTTGCAGATAACTCAAAGATTAGTGAGATAGATAACTGAGAGGATCATCAAGAATGATCCGAATAATCTGCTCTAAAATGCCATCCTCCCACCCCAAATTTATTTGTTAATATTAGTATGTTAGCAAGTAATATACTCAGGAATAAAGATTGAATATTGTGCCTATACACTGAGCAGTTCTGCTTTAGACAATTACGGCAAAATGATCAATTTAAAGATGCTGTGGGTTAACCACCTCCACTACCAGTGCAAGTGTATGGAAAAAAATACAAATAGACTTGACGTGCTCCCCAGTCTTATAAAACAAGAATAATTGAGTGGAAGCAGAGAGGTGGTCTTGTCTCCACACACTGCCTTAGCTGTCAAGCACTGGCTGTGAGTTAAACAGGACTCGAAGCCAAAAAACTCAGCTGCCAGGTTCCTCCACACAGACTGTTGGTAGAGATAACCTGAGGGGCCACCCAACACACAAAGCTGAGCTGCACTGCTGTGGGTCATCTCACACCAGCCTCTGACCAGGCAGAGATTTAATGAGGTTTTGCTTTCCTCATAGTGATAGTGTGAGGGGCATTGGCGGAGAAATCCCCTCCAGTCAGTGGTGCCATAGTCTTCACCTCTCCTGTGAAACACAGCTTAGCATCCCTAAAAACTGCAAAGTTTAAATCTAAATAGCTTTTTTGGTAGAGAACATTTTTTAGAGGCATTTGAGCCATGTCTGGCATTGACAGTTCGGGTCCTGGAGAGAGCACAGCTGGGAGCTGCCGCGCCTGGACTCCGTTAGCTGTAGCGCTTTCAGCACTGCTCCCAGTCTAATGCAGCTTTATTGCTTCCTGTAGCTGAGCTAATTTGTTCAGAGGTAGCGTGTGTATCTCTGCACGGCACTGCACCATGTCATGTGCATATACCTTTTACGGGCTGTAATGCATGGCATGTCAGGCTAAGATGATCTAATAATCCTTTCTGGCCCTAAACCGCATGAAACCATCATCAGTCACTTCCATTAATCTTCCATGAAGGAAAATAAGACACCTGAACATAGCAAGACAGTGAGATACAGCAGTAAAAATGTTGAAAATGTTTCTCAACTTCACCCTGCTCTCTCTCTCTAATTCTGCCATAAATTACTGGCCCGCATCCGTACAGACACTGAGATACTCTCAGGCTGCTGCAGAGGACCCCAACTTGCACTTGCCTCTGAGGTCAAGGCAATTAGCGCTTTTTGAGGGGAGAATAAGAAAGACATGGTGGCACACAGAAAAGTCCAGCATGGTTATCAAAGCCCCTGCACGGTAGCACAAGGATTTTTCAGCACAGGCACACCATGTTAGACAATGATGGCCACGCAGCCCTTACTATTTTCATTAGCCTGAAAGAGAAACAAACAGTCTCGGATTAACTCTCTCTGCTTTCATGTGTTGCGTAAAACGCAATGAGCAAATTGCAATCTGGAAATGGGTAAAAAGCTTTGGATCAAAAAATTCCGATGGATCTTGGCCAGTTTGTGCAGAAGTTACCATAACAGGGTCTCATTGCTCCATACACAGGAAACAAACAGCTGGAGGGCCTAAGCATTCACATGATGAGGATTTGAGAGAACCAAGCCTGGGAGATGTGCTGATTTTCTCTTCTGGCATGTGAAAAGGTTTATTTTGGACAGCATCTGTTTTACTTTTTATTCTCCGTTCCTTTAAAAAGGGAGTGACTAGGTCAGATGGACCCCCTGGAAGGAGCAGAGATTCCTCCTTTCCCTGGAGTGCAGATGAGCATGCTTGAGGACTGAGTGGGAGGAGGAGGATAGGAGGAGCTCCCAGGCTTCTCCAGGGTCTGCTGGGGAGAAGAGAAGAGAATGAGAGCACTAGTGAGGAGATGGAAGCCTGCTGTTCAGGAGAGGTTCATGAAAGGAGCGGGGAACATATGCACAGCCAGGCTCCCTTGGTGACAGGAAAAAACTTCCTAGGGATCAGAGGGGACTGCACAGTGATTGCTGCAACCCAAACAGTTAATAAATTGACTAAAACCAAACCTGGAAGCAAGTACTTACCTAATACCACACAGGGGGAGAAGAATGAAGTTGTTTATAAAATGTTCTTCTTTTATATATATATATATATATATATATATATATATATATATATATGTATGTATGTATGTATGTATATGTGTGTATATATATGTATATGTATATATATATATATGTATATGTATATTTAGTCCTTACAGAGAGAAAAACTGTTTCTTTATTTATAAAGTTAAATGTTCTCATTTCTATTCAATACAGATTGTCTTCATGCATTTAAAAGACCCTTTGGTCTCTTCAGCTTGCTTGCAGGAAAGAAAAAAGGTCTAGATCCTCATCAAAGCTATGTCTGTCTTCTCACAAGAAGTGGAGCCCAAGGTGACCCACCCTAGCCTTGCTCCTCAGCACTAGAGATACGTGAATGATAGAAACACTGTGAAATAGTTATTGAATGTCATCTGTGACATGAAACAACCTCTAAAATGTATATGAAATATTGGGAAAATATATTAGTCAACATCTTTATAATTCTTCATTTAGTTTCAATAGATCAAATAGGGAGAAAAATGGATTTTGGTTCATTGGTGGTTCAGGAAAAAAAAACCAAGCAAAAAAGGAAAGTGTTTCTTTATGATCAAATTGAAAACTATTTTTTGTTTTATAGTTTCATGAAACATTATAAAAGTGATGCAACCCAAAATATTTTATGTGGCTTCTAAAACATTTTAAAACTGTTTTTCTCAAAAAAATTGAAAGGAAATTTCAACATAGAATGTTATTTCAAATTAAATAGTTGAAATGCTTGACTTAAAATAATGAAAAAGGAAATATTTGATTATTAAAAAAAATGTTTAGGTTATTTTCAAAGTGAAGCACTCAACAAAATTAACACAATTTTGCAAAATCTTTGGTATATCTCTGCTTCTGTTGAAAAAAAAGAAAAAAAAAAAACAGTTGAAGTTTTCACAAACAAGCAAACATTAAGAGCCAAAAGACATGTAAGCACTAACATTTTCTGGCTTTACAAACCAGAAGTGCTCCCAAAGAGTTTGTTTAGTCATAACCAGAAAAGCCTACCAGAAACCCAGATCTGTTAAGAATAAAATTGGAAACAGATATGTCGTGAATGGTTTTTGTTGCCTTTTATTATTTCGCATTTTCTTTTGCATTCCTTCTCTTCTCCCTTTGCCCAGTCCTTCTTAGATGCCTGTGTACCAGACACTCCAGGACAAAACACCCTGTGATCTCCACACAAATACCTCCCCAGAGTAATTAGGAGTCAAAGTCTGTGCCAGCAGAAATTGTCTTCCTACCTGTAAATTCGATTGTGTTAGCTGGGGATCTCACCTGATCACTTCAGGTACAATGATTTTGAAAGTTTGTTTTACAGAGAGCTTTGACATATTTCAGCAGCTTTTATTCTGTAGATTTTCATAGGCATGACAAAAGTTTCCTCTTTGGAATTTAGAGAGGAAGCAAAGCCAGAGTTATCATCAGTAGTGGATTTCAATTATTAAAGAAATATCATTATTTTGAGGGCAAGGTGAAGAACATGCAACAATGCAACACTCCCTTTGCAGACTAAGGACTCTCCTGAACAGGAGGAAGATCTGAGAGGTTAAGCAGAAGAGGAGAACTTGTGGCCTTAGGAAAAACAGAGCCTACAGGGTATTTTCACACATTTACAGATGCCCCAGAAATGTACAAGCCCATCAAACCATTCTGGAGGAAGAGCACCTTGAGCTAAGGCTGACCCGAAACGTTGGGCCATATGTCCTGCTGCTGTACCATGCAGATGCCCCATCTTGAGCTGTCAGCTGCATTTATTAGTTTTGGTATTGCACCTCAGGAAGAAAGCGACTTTGCTTTTGAATCTGCACAGGCTCCCAAAGTACCAGGTAAGCACAATTCTAGGTCACAGGGAAAAATCCTGTGTGAGTGTGTCAAAATGGGTTAGGTTTATGCTGTCCCTATTTACTAATGCTGGATGAATATGGATCACAGCAGGTACCAGGATGCTGGAAAAGAAAGCAGGTTAAATCAGTTTGATGTCCCTGAGATTAAAAGTATCTGCTCTGTTTCTTATTGACTGAGTCCTCTGGTGCTGATGAATTCATATGGGGGACTTCTGTTTTTTCTAGTGTTTATCTGGAGGACAAATCTTTCCTTTTTGTTAAATCGATGTTATCTTCCTCTTTTATTCTTTTTTTAATCTGAAAACCAGAATTCACTGGAAAGCTCTCTCACTCTTTTCTTCTCTCCCTTTCCCTCCTTCTCTTCCTCTCTCTCTCCTCTTTCTCATTTTGACTTTTGGGAGGCTTTTTAACATCATAGAAATACCAAGTTTGGTCTTTGTCACTTTAGTTTTTTCCTGGAGGAGCTCTGGGAAGTCTTGTGTTCTGGGTGTTCTGGCACTGCTGTAGAAAGAATAAGGATCTTGAACAAAGAATTTCTTTGCCCAAAATTGAAATTTGTTGCTGAAGTTGCTAACAAAAGCAGAAGCAGATGAACAAAATTATTCTAGACACTGTACAATGTTTGTACACTAATAGATTGAAGAGATAGAAACTGTTTAGGAAAAAAAATGGTAATTTTTGTTCATAAGAACAATGAGACATTAAAGCAATAAAAATTAGATACAAATAATAGTAGCACAATTACTAGGTCGCTGTGCGAATCAGTATCGCACCTCTATAAGGAATACTTTGCTCTGTTGGCTAAGGTACCATCACAAAGGTGAAATGGGTTTTGAAAATTATCCTAAGTTTCTCAGCTCTTGCCACACTGAGAACAGCAAGAATTCATGAGTGGATAGACCTGTTGGTAAGAAAATCCATGTCTGTTTACTGAGCCTAGCTATTTCAAGAGATTTACAGGATGAACTTTGTCATCTTTTGTGAAAGTCCAAATAAATCATGTCTTCCAATCTTCTTGTATTCACTCCCTTGTTATCACACCCAATAATTAATGTGAACAAAGAATGTGAATATCTTACAGAGGCACAGATTTCTTTTACAGAAGCCATGGTGATCTGTCTCCATCATATTATTTTCAGCTAGGTCTTTTTATTACTCTGTTTTTAATTAGCATTTTGACCAATTTTCTTGGTGCTAAAGTAATAATTCTCAGCCCTGGATTTCCCAGAATAACCTTTACAGTAAAATACTATTTGCAACATAGCTGTTTTCTGAGAGAGCAACTATTTGAAGCAACTTTGAAAATGTCTTTGAGGCCCAGAAGTCCTCCTGAAGCAATGCCAAAATACTCCCTAAAATCAAGGCCAAACTGCTGGTGCAGCTTTTTCAGACAGATCGTAACCACAGGAATTTACCCCTTGTATTATTTTGTTTCTGACCTGCCATCATGCCGGCTTCCCCAGCCAGCTGGTTCAAATGGCAGCCCCATGGTCCCCTGGATGTGCCCATGGGCTGCGGGCCTGTCAGACCAGTGACCATGGCTCCAGTCCCTGCACAACATTTGGGTCTACACAGTGGAGGAAGTGCCCTCCACAGTGCAGCCTACAGGCTTGAACTTTTGGTCGTCCAGACTGGATGATGATCATCACAGTCACCTTCATACTCACACAAGAAATTCACTTAGTCAAATGGAAATGAAGGGGGTGTAGCTGAGACAGATTTTTTCCTGATAAGCTTATCTGGAATCTCTCTTGCTGGTCCAGAGGGTACACATTCCTGATTTGTAAAGTGTGCTCTTTTTGTATATTGGTTTTGAGTTTTATCTCTAAATTTGACATGAAGTTTGCATTTTATATACAGCTCCTATATACAGGATGAAACAGGAAATGCACTAATGCTTGAAACTATTTATTGTTATATCTAGATCTTATTTGATAGAAACTTTTTATATTATTCTGACAAAATCTAAAACTTCCACATCACATGGAATGACTTGAGCAATAGAAAAGGAATGTTTAATTGTAAAACTAAATAAAAACATAAAGTTTTAAAGCACAGAATTTTCAAGTGTATGAGACAAAGCAACAATCTACCTTCTCAAAATTGTGGATGTCCCATCACTGTAAGTGCTCAAAGCCAGGTTAGACGGGGCTTTGAGCAGACTAATTTAGTGGAAGGTGTCCCTCACTATGGCAGAGGGCTTAGAACTAGGTGATCTCTAGGGTCCCTTTTAACCCAACAATTCTATGATTCTCTTGGTGTGTAATCCAACTTTTGGTCCATCAGATGAATTTCCTCTCCTGTTGCCTTCGGGCATGTTTTAAAGAACCAAGAAAGGTCAAATAATCAGCTCCAAAGTACACTAAATAAATAATTTTAGCAAGTTTTGCCATAAATATCAACAAATAAATATGAGAAATGTAATGAAAAAATGAAAAACAAGCGCTGTGTGAAGGAAGCCATTTTTAATCCATTTTTTAATAAAAGTAATTAAGACAACTCTCTTACTTCTGATGCTTTTATGTGCTTTACTGAATTTTCTTCTCCTACCAGGCTAAATGATGAGGAAGTCAGGTCTGAGTGTAATTGCAGTGACAATGTTTAGTTGATGATATCCTAAAGTTTAGTAGTTAGCACCCTGTCCTCCAAATGAGAAATATTTTTGCCTCTTTGAGATGGAGCAGCAAACTGCCAGCAAGAATAATAACACCAGAGGCAGGCACAGCGGATTTGGGAGAAGTTTTTATGTTACTTCTTCTCATGGCTCATTCTGTGTGAAGTTTCACATTGTGGGTACACTCGGTGGTCACCTATATTAGTCCTGCTGTGCACTTGGTCCTGCCTCTTGGCTGGAAAAGTCAATTGCTTCCACAGCCTTTCACCTCCTAACATTTTCTTTGATTCTTCTGTGCCTGTCGTCGTTTTTATGACCTAACGGAAAGTCTTCAGTTGGAAAACATAATTTATATTCTGAACTTACTAACAGGTCTGAAAAAGTCTGTTAGAAATAATACCTCCTCACTGGTATTTGTATATATGTGTCTTATTTACTGTGAAGTTTAGGAGCTGTTCTTTTAGCTGTGCATTTGTGCTGTACCTGGAAGTATGGAGTCTCTTGATCTTGTGCATAATACAAAAGACTAATCTTAAATATTGATAAAACATTATTTACTTCTTAAAAAAAAACAACTTCATTGAGATATGAATGTTATTGTCAGTCTGAAAACTAAGCAGCAACCATGGCTTACATGTTCCTTTGACCAAAACACTAAGCAGTGATTTAAAAAAAAGTAAATCTGGTAAACAGTAAATCTGGTATGCAGCCAACTGAAGTAGAAAAGGGAAGAAGCAAAAGACTAGTAAAGACTAGTTCTGAGTAAAAGTCACGGATCAGTTCCAAGTGTTAGTGGGCTAACAATTATTTTAAGAAACATCTCTTACTTTAAGAGAGCTGAAAGAGACCATCCCATCAATCAAGTAAAACCAGAAAAAGTAAATAATTAAAAAAAGCGCAGCATATTAAGTGCACTGCTTCTTCTTTCAGTTGCATATTTAAAACAAGCATATTTACGGCGGAAAAACTCCTTTATGTCCTGTACTTTTGACAAGGATTAGAATTAATGTTTCTTCCCCTTATACATAATTTTTAATCAAGTTCATGGAAATACTTTTTATGGATAGAGCTCATAAATCTGATAAGGTTCATAAATTCAACTGGAGCATAAGAGGTATTAGAAACAAAACAAAACAAAATTAAAAAGAAATTAACTGATTTGCAAATGCATATATTGTATTAAGTGTGTTTGTGCAAATCCAAAGACCTATTGTACATTCTTAAAAGAACAGTGCTGAACTATTTCTTAAAACAGCATATTTGCAGAAGTAAGGCTCGTTAGTTTATAAGGAAGACTTGCCAACCTATAGTGAAGGATATTTGACATGTCTGACTATTGACTGGAGTTCAAACAACAAGAAACTGCTCATAGCACTCTTCCAGTGAGATTATTCCCTTTGAAGGTCACAAAGGCAAGTCCACCATTGCCAAGTCATGATGCATCTGACACAACATTTCTTTTTAGAAAATCTCAACTAAGTGATGGTAAAAGAATCTATGCAAGGGAAGGAAAGCATGAAAGAAAGGGAGAAACTTTTGGGGTACCTTTGTTTTGAGCTCCAACAACGTTAAAGAACTCAAAGACCAGAATAATATAATCATGAAGATCCCAGGACAGAATTATTTGAGAAAATGTGTCATATTGGAAACTGCTGGTTAATTGTTTGGGGATTTTTCTTCCCATCCTTATCATTTCCTATCTTTCATGTTCATGGACTAAACCAAATGGACCCCAGATGAAAAAATTGGATGGTATATTTGCATGCAAAACAGAATTTAAACTTTGTGTACGTTTGTGTTTAAAGTAATGACATCCCACAATTCACAACAAAATTCAAAAGTCTATGTTCAAAAGTGCAGAGGAGGCACAACCTTCAAAGACTTCACTAATTCACAATTGGGGAACATCCAAGCAAAGAAAAAAGGATCATTTCAATATTTCCCTTTTAGTGACACATTAAAAGGTCCTGTGTTTTAAGGCTGAGCTGCATAAAGCAGAATTCATTGATAAGCATGAAGAAATTAATTATTTTAAAATTCTGGAACCTGCATTTTAAAAATAAAATATTTTTTTGAAAGCCAAAGAAAATGTATTAATTAATTTGTACTGGCATTAGTTTAACATAGATATTTTAGAAGACCTCAGTCAGGATTTCTTTTTCCACAGCTGTCTTGCTACAAGCAAAACAATACAATCTCCCCAAACCTTCCCTAGAGTGGAAATTCAGCCTATACACAGTATTTTAGTTACATGATCCCACTCCTGTGCTGAGCATAGTCAAACACACAACAAAGTCAACAGCTCATGTCATTCTTAAAGTCATTTTGATATCAGAAGGAATGAAAGCACAACTCTTTTTGTGAATTTTCATTCTCTGCCCCTTATGATGGAAATGGGTCAGCTATATGAAAGGAAATGTGTACATGGTTAGACTTCTCACTGATAAAATCGTGACCAGCCTTTCTGAGACAAAAGTAACTTAAAATCTGCACAGTTCTAGGTTGAAAAGCTAGGGGCCAGATGGTCTGTCTGCCTTTCCTTTACATGATGTAAGGGAAGGCTATAAACTTGGTTCAGCTGGCAGTCTACTCCAGTATTGCTACAAAGCTAAGAAAAGCAGTGAGACCACATGAAGAAGTGCAAATAGCATTTTTTAATGAATTTTTGCTCTCAATATTCAAAGTAATATTTTGGGGGGTTCTTGTTTAATGTTTATATATAGGGACTAATGCTATGAAGAATATTCTCCTCCAGATTCGAAGACTCTAACTCAGAGTAAAGTTTGAACGTAAAGAATAAAGAAGAAAAAAAATTTTTTTAAGTTATTCCTTAATTAAATGAAAAGAGCTCTGGGAGTTCAATATTGACTTAAAGGAAATATCAATTCAAATTTTATGAAAATAAAAACTTGAACTGCCCTTGACTCTGCTCATTAATGGAAAAAAAAAATCAAAATTACCATGAGTCTACCTGCATTTGTGAATTATGCATTAGTTTAAAACAGATTTTGTTTTAATACATCATGGTATTGCTAAGTACGTGAAGATGTAATAGTTTTCCCGACTGTGATGACAGGTTTTCTGTCCTTTTTTTCTGTCTATTTTTGGAAATGCTCTATCGACCTCAAAACGCTTTAACATACAATGGGAATAATTGATTGTTCTGCGAAAGGAAACTACCTGGTTTTAAAAGGATACAAAGGGGTCTCATTGTTCAGGAAGGATTTTTAAAGAAGACAATAAGACTTTCTGGTTTGAGAGTGTGGGTAGGCTTGATCTGGAAATGTGTTTGTTGGTCTACAAAGGAAGGATGCAGGTAGTCGTGTACACACACGGAGGTGAACGTAGGTATGAATGAACGAGAGAAAAGCACAAAGCAGGTGAGCAGGTGCTCTCTAGTGTTAAAAGTGGTGATCAAACAGATGATGGTAAGAAACATGGGAAAGGCAGACTGACTTCAAAATTGCTGAAAACAACTTTAGCTCTTTCACAAGTATGAGGAAGAACCAGTAGAAGAACTCCCTTTGTACACAACTACTCTGGGTGAAACACGCCTAGGAGCCTGCCTACCAGAGTGCCCAAACCTACTTGTTGACTATCCCTGTGCCAAATTATCCATTTCAACTTAAAATAAAGCGACTGTCCATTTAAACCATCCCACTTTTCCTGTACTCTGTCCACTCCGCAAGCGCGCCGGGCGCTGAAGGCGCTGAGCCACCCGCTAGGGTTGGAGCAGCCTTCCCGAGTAGGAAACGCAGAGGCAAAGACGTGGCACTGCCCGCCTACCTCCCGCGGGGCCGGGGATGGAGAATGGGGGATGGGGACGCTCCTTCGCCCGGCAGCAGGCGGCCCAAGGGGGCTCCTCTCCCTTGCCTGCGCGCCCGAGCCAGCGCTTCACCGCCCCGCCGGCCCTTCCCGCAGCTCCGGAGGGCACCCGCCCTCATTCCCTGCCTGCCTCCCGCCGGGGCTGGGAGCTCGTCCCGCTCAGCCCGGCGCGGACACAGACCGAGCTGCTGCGAGAGCAGCCGCGGCTCCGCGCAGGCGGTGGCCGCCGGCCCGGGCGGCTCCGCGGAGCTCCGCTGGGCAATGCGGGACCTCCGCGCCTGCCCGCACTGCCTGGATTGCTCGCAGCTCTTTCAAAAACTAAATAGCGCGGCTTCTCTCTTTTCTTTTCTTTTCTTTTCTTTCTTTTCTTTTCTTTTCTTTTCTTTTCTTTCTTTTCTTTTCTTTTCTTTCTTTTCTTTTCTTTTCTTTCTTTTCTTTTCTTTTCTTTTCTTTTCTTTTCTTTTCTTTTCTTTTCTTTTCTTTTCTTTTCTTTTCTTTTCTTTTCTTTTCTTTTCTTTTTTCTCTTTCCCTTTCCTTTTTTTTCCCCTTCCTTTTTTTGTCCCTTTCCCCCTTAAGAATGATGAACTCTCCCACCTGTGGATCGTACACTTGTTTTCTCCCTGAGAAACGCTGTCTGCCTTTCAGGTGAAAATAGCAGGCTCCAGGAAAGCTTTTTGAGGTCTTTTATCTTATATCTTTATACCTACGGATACATATTTGCTTATACTTCCCTAGGCGGAAAATTACTAACAATCTTAATAGCAGTGTGACATAAGGGAAGCAACTTTCCTAAGCCTCAGATCTGTTTTTTTAGAAATCCGCTTTAGTTTGGTTTCTGTTGTTTTGTATATATACATATATATATATATATATATATACATATATATATTTTTAAGCATTCCCCCAATAACGTCTCAAAAGGAGGAAGGCAAATCCTGGAAAAGACATGGCCCGTTATTAGTGCAAATTGTTGAAGCCACAGACGCCCTGGGGATTTTTTTTTTTTTTTTTTTTTTTTTTTTTAATAAGAAGCTCTAAACCAGGGGTGTGTTTCACATGGGTCTATTCGTACGCTTTTCGTGTTATAGAGAGTCGTCTGAAAGCTCGGCGCTATCCTGGGCAGACCCTTCTTGCATTGTATTTTTAAAATGAAATGCATTATTGCACTTTTTCTAAACTGAAAATTAAAAAAAAAAAATTGGGTTAAGGGGAAAACAAGTGACCATAACTCATGCGAACAGTCCACCTTTTAGTGCAGGTATTACGGGAGGAAGTTAGAGGACAGTGTTAATAAAAGTAATGACCGAAATATTCAAAGAAATTTCAGGGAAGGAGCTTCCATGAACAATTCCGCTGCAAGTGCTCGGGAGCGCTGGAGTATCCACTGCCACAGCGCCCCCTCCCACACGCGGCTTGAACTAACGATTTTATCCCGAAGACAGCCAAAGAAAAGTTCCTTCTTTTCCTTTTTCGCTCGCCGTTTTCACCGCTCTTCGCTTTAACCCTGTGAACGGCTCCACGAACGGCTCGCCCAGCTCACCCCGTCTCCCCGCGTTCGCGCAGGTCGCTCCCACAAAGCACGTCGCTCAGAAAGAGCCCTCTAAACTGGGCTCCTTTTACTAGAAAACCGGACAACTCCGCTTGCACAGTATGCGTGTGTCATTTGTTATTTTTAAATACAATAGTCTATTATTTAACGTCGTTGTCTCCGGGAGATGGTGGCGGTCCCCCATTTCATGAGAGAAAGGAGAAAGCATTCCCAGACCATTGTGTGGTTATGTCACAGGAAACTGTTTCAGCTGCGCATTGTGTTACATCTTCAAACCCCACCAAGTTCCACTTCTCTTTGCTTGAAAAGTTGCTGTGACCGGTGTCACGACAATTGGGCAATTGGCATTGTGCGGGTGACAGGCGTGTGCGCCTCTCCGGGCCGCAGGGAGCCCTCCCGGGGAGGGAAACCTCTCCTTCACCCCAGCGAGGCTTGTGTATTTATGTTTTTTCTTCTTCTTTCACTTGTGTAAAGTCAAGGGGAGAGGGGTCCGGAGTGAATGGCCCCCAGGCAGACGCCCGAATGCCGGGCAGAGGCAGCAGGAGCCCCATCCCCACAGACGGGGCTTTCAACTTCACCCGCCCGAAAACTTCAGACTCTGTCACTGGTGCAAGGAAATGTAGCTAATAAATGACAAAACGCAAAACCTGTCTCCCAGGACAGCAATGAGCGATTGCAGGGGGTGGTAGGGGAGCTCTCGTCTACCTTCTCAGATCTGCTGGAAGAAACTGAATTAAAGAAGACAAGGCGAGTTCGCAGTTTAAAAATCTGGAAAGGTAAACGCTGACCTAATGAATAGATTATTAAAATAAAAAACACTGTGTGTAAAGTCTTAATGTCTCTGTATAGGCATGTTAATTTGCCACAGTTATTACCAATAAAAAGTGCATGTAATACTATTCTGGTGTTTAACAGCGCAAGTTAGACGGCTTTGTATTAGTAACGGGTAGTACTGTGGGAAAATTAGATTTCGGCGGTGGAGCCAAGCAAATGAAAAACCTCTTCCCTGCGAAAGCCATTCAAATCAAACAGAGATAACTCCGGGAAGAAGTTAAATACAGACACTGATCGCAGTTTAGAAACGTTATTGAAACAGTTTTCTGGTTTGAGTACTGCAAAGCCTTCGCCAGCTATATTTAAATAACCCCACTAGCTATTAGTCCTCCACATTGTGCAGAGTCAAATTAGTGGTGTACTTGTAATAAAATGCATACCGGCTCCTTGCAGTGGCTAAATCCATTCCTTTCTGAAGCCATACAAAAATTATGCAAATCAAATCAACGCAAGAACTTGTCTTTGAAATGATAATACTTTACTCCATTAATCTCTGATTGCGAAATTAACCCTGTTTCTGTATATGAAACAATAGTTTTGGACTGCACAAATTAAAACATCAGAAATATAATCTGTTGCTCTATGTGTCTGGAGGAAGGGGAGTAATGTTCCTGATTTAAACACTCCTCATACCAAAATCATAAAAATTTATTCTCGTAGACGAAAGGCATGCAGATGGAGGCAAAACCAGCACCTACATTTTACACGGATGGCCACGTAGACCTAAAGTGTGTAGCATATGTCTATGCGTGTAGATATGTGTGGAGATTTGTATCTCTCGTGTGTTCGTGTGTGTCTGTGCATATCCACACACACTCCGAACTGAATTACATCAGTTCTCCTGGGATCACGGTATTTATTTAAGTACTCTTCCCAGGTCATAACTGTAACACTCACTTAATAGCATTAATCCCCTGTTATAATGTAAACACAACGGCCATTGTATTCCCAATCTGTATTGTTCCACTAATTATTAAAGAGGAAGAACTAAAAGCAATCAATTCGCGAAGATAAACATCACTTCTCCTGGAAAAAGAGCAGTTTCCCAAATAAAAATGCAGAGAGTATAGCACATTTTGCAAGGCATGCAGGTTGGCTTAGAGAGATTCATGTATGACTTTATAATGTTATAATTAATTTTGCATTCTCGACTCTCCAGCTGCTGCTCCTTTCAGAGGCAGAGCTCATATACTTAGAAATCGGTCTGCGGAACACAGCAATTGACTATTCAGATGTAGTCGCATGATATCGATTATTCCACAGAAATACTGAAATATGAATATGTTTTATATAAACCCTTGTTTTTTGAGTTTCTATTTTTATTTAATATATGCGCATTAATCACCAAGCAGGGAAGCAAATGTCTTTCCTGTAATCTGCTGCACTGAGTTTACCAGTTGTTTATCACTCTCTTATCAGGAAGTCGGGAGTTAATGACAAGAAATACCTGTTGGTGTTAACCTCCTCCCCCTCACCTGCTTTTTTAAGGATTGCCTCTTCTACAGGCCAGCTGATAGATCTGGACAGGAATTAATCCAGTATGTCTGGTGGCCAGATCTCTGCTGCTGCTTGTAGCGGCAGGGGTAAACTGGTATGTGGGTTTCACAGAAAAGGAGGAGAGTAAAGGAGAGAAATAAAAACTGAGATAGAAAAAGAAATCTGAAAGCTCGGATTGCTTCAGACACTTTACACGTCCCGAGGTTTGACCGTAGTTCCAGCACGGCATTTTCCCCACTGTGTGCGCCAAGCTATTGAAACGGCTTCGCAAAGTGTATTTTTTTTTTTTTTATCAGCTGCATGTTTAATTGATTAACAATAGGCTGCTCTGCACACCCGCAATTTTTCAGCTACTGCCATCTCCCCTCCTGCCGGTGGCCAACCGATCCCCGGCGTCGTCTCCATCCTACCTGATTGAAACTACTTGAGGTACTTCATGAAGAACTCGGCCATAAGTGTCAAGCAACTTCATTTGTTTAAGTGCGCACCCATGTATGTTAAAAATAAAGCACAGTTTCATTAACTTTTTTTTTTTTTTTTTTTCCCGAGCACCTAAACAATATTAATGAGGCCGTTCCGGGCTGGTAACTTGCAGAAGGTTGCATGTGAATGGCTTGTGCAAAGCGCGGTGGCTTCCAGACCTGCAGCCCCATCCCTACCTGCCGGACCCACCCTGATGCTGCTCCGCACGGACGGCGGCGGAGTTGCGGAGCGCAGGTGCGGACCAGGATGCGCGGAGAGGCCTAGCACGCCTCGGCCCCCTGTAGCGGCTTGGTGGGACGGGCAGGGCCCAGCGCTGTGCCCCGGGGCTGTCGGACTGAAGGAGCGCCTCGGGAGGGGAGCCCCGGCTCCACCGCGGGTATGGGAACACCGACACAGGGGACCGCGGGCACCGCGACCCGTCCCGGGAGGCAAAGGGCAGAGCTTGAGAGTGGGCAGCTCGCCACCGG